GGGTTCCGGCACCCTCAGAGGGAAGAAGATCTTCCTCATGTTCAGATGGAAGATATCTCCTCCACCCACACACCACAACATCACCCTGAGCAGTAACACGGAGGGTTGTTAGCTGGACCCCATGCCTTGCCATCCTGCAGCAGCACCTGTGGGAAGGTGACCCCCCCCCCCCCCCCCCCCCCCGCGAGCCAAGGTTCACGGCGGTCATGCCTGACTCACCCCATCACCTGACACCGGGAGGTTGAAACCACCACTCTCCGTTGCCTGTTTTTATCTGCCCTGCGGGACCTTTGTGCCAGCTGGGAGCGGCATGTTGACATTTCCGTGTGCCCATGGTGACGGCTGTGGTGCAGGGAGTGGTGTGGCCGGTTTCACTGCTGGTTGGTGTCACCCCTGCCTGCCGCACCCCTCCTCGCCTGGGCAGAGCCCCGGTATTTAGCGGGTGCCCGCCGCCCCGGCAGGGTCGTGGCGAGGCAAGCGACGTGCTGCTGTCGGAGGGTGCTGCCAGCATCGCCGCTGCTGGGAGATTTTCTGGCAGGTTGGGTGAGCGAAAGCGTCTCCCCGAGGCAGCAGCGCCTGGCAGGGCACAGGGCAGCCGAGGAGCACGGGGGCAGTGGGGCCATGGGCCAGGGTACGCCGTCCCCGTGGCTGGCACTGCACCAAGACATGGTGTCCCCAGCCCTTTGTGGTCCACAAGGACGTGGGCTGGGCACCCAGGCTCATCCAGAGTCAGTTTATTATTTCCATTAATGATGGAAACCATGCGCCTGGGCTTTGGGGATGTACAGAGGTGGGAACAGTCACTTCTGGGGGTCAGTGCTGTCACCCAAAGCTATGGGGCGGCTGTCAGGCTCTGCAGGGAGATGGCACTCTCGGGGAAGCGAGCGCGGTCTCTGTGCCTGTGGCAGAGGAGCTGGATCCTGGCTGCTGGCAGGGCAATGACATCCCCGTGACGGGAGGTGCGACGAGGGAGCGCTGACGGTGCCTGTTCTTCTCTTGCAGCTTGGGGGCCGCGGAGGATGTGGAACCCCAACCCAGGTGAGGGACCGTGGGGCTGGGGCAGGGCGGTGGGTACCACACGGCCATCGGGCTCCGGGAGGGGCTTGGTGCAATTGCCAGGGGCACCCAGGGGGAATTGCCTACGTACCAAAGGGGAGTGGGGCATCATTTGTGAGGAGGGGGTAGTCTGAAAGGGGTCCTTTGGGTGCTCTGGCGCACCAGCATTGCCTGTCCAGGGAGAGCCTGGCTCTGTTCTCTAACAGCTCCCCTCTGCTTCCTAGGCGCACCCGGAGGGGTGCCACCACCGCCAGTCGAAATTTGCCCGCCTAACTCTGTGGGTTACCGTTTTACTATCACTTCAGCAGGTGCCCACTCCGGCTGCGCTCCAGTGCAGCCTGTTCCTCCAGGGCCCTGTCCTCCGGGACCCCCAGCCTGCTTTCCTGGTGGCCCCCCTCCACCTGGTCCGTGCCCACCGGGGCATCACTGCCATGGGCACCACCACCCGGGGCATCACTGCCACGGGCACCCCCCGCCAGGACATCACCCCCATGGGCATCCTCCGCCAGGACATCACCCCCACGGGCATCCCCCGCCGGGGCATCACCCTCATGGGCACCACCATCCGGGGAAGCCGGGATGCCCACCGTGCCCCCCTGGCTGCCATGACAAGCACCATGACAAGCACCATAAGAAGCAGAAGAAGCACAAAAAGAAGCACGGCAAGGTAAGAGTGAGGTGGCGGATCCCTCTGAATCTCTGCTGTGGTTCTTTGGACACCCCCACGTGTGCCACTGCATCCAGCCTGGGCAGCTGGGACTCCCCTGTCCCGCTCCGCGGAGGCTGGAGGGAGCTGCCAACACCTCAGTGGCTTTGTCTTCAGACATGGAGGCTCCTGTTTGGTTAATAAATAGGCAAGCATGAGTCATTTCAAGTGAGGCTTTGGCAATTGAAGTTCCTTGAAGCCACTCAGAACGGTGGCACAGCTCAGGGTGCACCTCGTGGTGTACTAAATCCGAGGACTTTGTCCCGCTCACATGAGAGAAGTTGTGTCTGTGTGAGGGACATTTGCTCAGTGTCCCACAGCAGAAGAGCAGTTCAGTTCCCTCTTAAAAATCACAAAAAACAAAGACAAAAAAGAGAAAAGTGGTGGAGGAGATGCAAAAGGAGATGCTGCAGGAAATGCCATTCTGGGGGAGGTGGGGGGGGCAGCGCATCTGGAGTAGGTCTGTGTGAGGGACTGCTAAACAAGACCCCCCCCCAGTTCCACCATCAGAGATAGGAGCATTTCCTGAAAAAAGCAAATCGTCAGCTCCTCTTGCTGCTTAACGGCTCGGAAAGTGATCTGCCTTGACATTTGCCCTCGCTGGCAGAGAGCAGGACCCTGCTGGAATTTGCTTAACTGGCCTGAACAGCCTTGTAAAATAGTAATAAAAAAAAATCGCCCTCCCATGACACGCCCATAATTATATTCTCCATGCGGAAAAGTAATGGCTCCAAACCCTGAGAAGCGATTTGTAGCAGCATTGCAATAAACATTGCGGTGGTGTTGTTAGTAGCTATTTTATCTTCAAGTCAAGGCATCCCGGCCGGGGTTTGCTGTCTGAGGCCGTGGTGCTGTGCCGACTCCCGCTCAGCCTCACCCTTCGCACGGCCCCGGGGCCTTGGCATCAGCTGATTCCCAGCTTGCAACCCAGCCAGCGCGCAGACCTGAGGGCAGCTGTGGTCCGCAAAGCGGGGTCGCTTACCCGCTGTGCGAGAAGCCAAACCACACGCAGAGCAGAGGTCTTGTCTTGATCGCATATTTTGCGCAGGTACGGGTGCTAGGCGGTGATTCCACAAAGCTAGCACACTGCTTGGCAGACTCACAAAGACTCCATACTCTTACAAAAACAAATTACCCGTTACATTCTGGTTGGTTCATGGCGTTATATGCTTATCTTCAAGGTATATTCCTTCCTTGTCTAACTATGCCTGCTCGCGTGCTGGCAGGGGGGTACAGTCTTTTTCATTCTGAACCGAGTTGGTAGTCGCCATCTCCCCCTGCTGCCTTTACCTTTTTCCTCGTTACCCTAGGTTTTTGATAACTTGATGCTTCTTTGGCAATCAACCACCTTTCGGTGCCTTCTGGGCTGGATGTTCCTCTTTCGTCAGCCTGTTAGCTCCTCTTCAAGGGCATAATTCTTAGTAAGGCATGCGTTGTTTATACAAAGCCTAAATTTAACGATGTCGCTAAGACCTAAGGATGCCTGCCCTGTATCACTACGCCCCAAGCTTAGTGATATGATCTAAACATTTCTGCCCGATATCACAGCCACCACCGCTGCAGGCTCAGCCTGGACCCAGCTGGGCGCCGGCAATGGGCACCCACCGCAGGATTGCTAACACCCATCAGAAATGGTGTGAAAGAGGGTTGTTTCCGCACTCTCCTAAAGTCAGATTTATCTCTTCCAGAGCTCCAGTAGCAGCTCAAGCAGCAGCAGTTCCGACTGACTGAAGAGGACGTCTGCTACCCTCACGGTGGTGAAGCGATGAAACACGAAGACAAACACCCCAAAAAGATCAGCCTGCTTGTTGCTCCGCTCCTTTCCTCTTTCTCCAAGAATGGTGTTTTCCCTGCTTAATGATGTTCTTTGTTTTTGCTTGTAAATTCTTTGATCTGGAATCACTGAGAGATGATGGGCAGCAGCTCCATCCTCTGTCTTTTGTGAGAGCCTGCTAGAAGTCACCCCTGCTGCTGCAGGTAGCAGTGTGGGGAGCATTATGTGCTGGTTTGAAGTCTGCTGGTGTCTGTGTGTTTTTTCCTGTGCGTTGATGCCGGCTGCCAATGTGGATCCCACTGCCTGTAGCAGTCCTTAAACTTCGTGTGAGCATTCCCAGCTGTAGCAGAAGGGCTGGCCAGGGAATGCCGTAACTTTCCCCTTGCTGAGCTGTGTGGGTTGCCATCCTCCACATCAGGGTAATAATTAACAGGAAAAAGTAGTGAGCTCTCTTTCTAAAGCGCCTGGCCCACGGCCATGGGACTGCAGCACACTTGCTAGGAAAGCTGAAAAGCCTGGCAGCGCTTTCACCACAACAATTTTAACACAGGGCTGCTTTATTTTTATTTTGCCCATTGTCATGGCTCAAGGGGAGCCTTCCCAGCCCGGTCTGACTGGCTGCTGGGCCTAGTGGGACAAACACGAGCAGCTCACCATAGCAGAGAGCAGCTCTTCCCTGCAGCCGTGCCACTGACTCCTCTGCATCCCGTGCTGGGGGTTCCCTACGGACAACCCAAGCCCTCCCCAGCCCCTCCGCCCCATCTGACCTCCACCACCATGGATGCAAGCTGACAGAAATGCGCCTGTCCTTGGAGGGTTCCCCTGCCCTGGTGTCCTGACTTGAGACACACCAGTGTTGGATGCAAGAGGGGCTCAATAAAGCACGGTGAAAGCCTGAGTCAGGTGCAGTGCCACTTTCCTAGTGGGGAAACGCACAGTCCCCCTCAAAGAGGGGCACCTGAGCTTTCCTCACCCAAGAACAGGTGAGGAATGAAGACATGGTCTTTGCCACGCTTAGAGATCACAGTCTGGATGGGCACTGTGGGGGTGCGGGGCCAAGGGGCAGGGGAGCAGGTCTGCAAGGGGACTGCTGGAGAAAGCGGGGAGGGCTGGAGGTGCCCTGTCAGCCTCCCATGGTCCTTCAGGTCCTCAGCAGTGCCCCGTGACCACTGTGCTGCAGGGACCCCTGGCCTTGTGCTCCTTCACTTGTGGGAAGAGGCAGAAGACAAACTTACCTGGACTTACCAGCTTTGCACCAGGAGAATCAGCTGCTCATGATAAACAATTACAAAAAAAAAGAGACAAACTAGAGAATAAAGAGGCTTTTTCAGAATAGGGTGAAAAGAGTTTATTTGTTTATTTTCGCAGACAGCACAATTCAAGTTCAAATCTGGGCATTGCTCAGCGGACACCAGTGGGAAGAAGGCACCATGGTTGCTTTGAGCACATTGGGGTGGCAGGGAGGCAGCTCCGGAGGCTGCCCGGTATTCTGTGAGATGCTGGGAGGTGTGCTGTCCCTCTCAGCCAGGATTTTGGGTGCAGTAATAAATGAATGGGTTCTGATGAAGGTTGGAAGAAGGCAGAAGGAAGCAAGGGAGATATGGCCCATGGGAAAAAAATAAAAAAGATCTTAAAGATGATCTGTGAAATTAAGGATAGACAGAGCCCCAAAAGGAGCATCTGCAGACAACTGTAGAAGGCAGTAAAACCTCTCACCACCCCTTTGCTCCTGAGAAAGAGGAGCAAGCCACCAAGGGCCATGCAAAAGGAAAGCAAGCCGCTGACTATTTCAAGCAGTATGTGATGTGTCATAAACTCACTCAGTCCTCTCAGGGCAGAAGAACCGAGAAAACAAAAAAGATGAGAAAATCTGGAAAAGGGCTTGCTAAAGAAGGGGGGGATGTTACAGCCGTAAAGCTCCTCACAGGACACTGAGGGATATTGAGAGTTTATCTGAAAAGTAGAGATGATCATTTGTCCTGCTGTGCTGGAAAGGTTTCTTGCTTCTCTGATAGGCCCTCCTAGGATTACAGTACATACGCAAGTCATGGCCTGATGTGTATAAAGTTTTACAGAAGTACATTGTATGGCTCTGTATCCTGCTTCGATCTTGGTTTTAATTAGCACCATAAATGTAAGATACACGACTTTTCATCATGAAAATAAAAAAAAAAAAAGCTCTGGATTTTGGCTAAAAAGGAGGACCCAGAGGGCAGCTGTTCTGGGCCAGCTCAGAGTTGCTAGCAACCATACAGAGGGAAGCAAATAAAACAGGTAATATCAGGGGTGTGTATACTGGTGCGAGGAGGACGTGCACTTCCTTCATTTAACATATCCACCTAATGAACCTGTCGAAGAAGCTGGGCTGGGAGAGGCTGTCATAGTCCTTCTCCCGGAATATGGCCGCCCGGTCCCCGAGACCAAGCTTCATCAGGACGTCCATGTCTACGTCACTCCCGAGAGCCACTACTGTGGGCATGACATCTTGCTTCTTCATGGAGTTGATGGCCTCCTCAAGGTTCTTGCTTCCTGTGATGCCATCAGTGATGAAAACGAAGGAGAGCTCAGCATTGCGCCGGGCGAGTCGCTGCCCATCTCCCGGGCTGAGCACGATGTTGTTGACGGCGTGTATGATGGCTGACCCGATGTTGGAGGATGAGTCCAGGTACTTGATCTGTGCCAGGGCGTTGGAGATTTCTGTCAGGTTGTAGGTCAGTGGGAAGACCACGTCCTGGTCCCTCTCACTGCCGTACTGCAGCAGCGCAATCCGGGCATTCATGTTGTCACCGTTGCTCCTGGCCAGCGTGAGCTGTCGGGCCACCTCCTCCACAAAGCGGTGGGCTCTGTGGAAATTCTGCTCCCCGATCCTTTCAGAGCCATCAAGCAAGAAGACAATGTCAACGGGGCGCTGCGTGCACTGGGCCACTGCAAGCTCTGCAGGAGAAAGAAGACAAGAGTTGGGAGCATAAGAAAGCCTACAGGATAAGGTTGGGGCTTGTTCCCGGCTCTGATCTGTAACAGGAATATCCAGAGATTAATGGCAGGCAGTGTCTCCAAAGCTCTCCGTTACTTCTAGAGAGTGGTTTACTTTCAGAGTTACTCTTCACACACAGATTTGTAAGATGAAAGCTGTTTTCATACCTTTCACCCAGATTAGTTTAATCAGCAATCACAAATACCTGAAGAGCTTATAAAGGTTGGGTCGTGTGGTTGGAAAACAGGACTACCCTTGTTGGTGCACCTGTTCATAGGAAAGCAGCTTTTGTAATATACAACAGATGAACATGTGAGCGAAACACAGCAGTACATTGTTCTTCAGTCACTCAGAACAGCACCTGTCCACAAAGCAGGCGTGCGGGCACATGAACATACGCAGTGAATGAACACAGAAAGAAAAGGAGAAGAAAATAGCTGTCTTTGGGATCAGCTGTTAGTCAGGGACCATGATTTTGCCCCTTTGCAGTAGTTACGTGTATTGCATTTAGTATTCCTCTGCGTGCACTGCTACTCTGAGAAACACCTCCACTGCTGCACAGTTGGATTTTCTTCTTGAGTTTCCTTCTCTGCTGAAAGCACTGGTCAGGAACACAACTGCAACAGCAGTATTGATTTGTGATGTACTTGCTGTGGCTGGCCCCCCCCTGAGTTGGCAGCAGGGCAATGGCCATATTGCTGTCAAGCAATGCTGTGGCTCTGAGACTGATGCTCACAAGGGTGAAGTCCTGGAGACGATGTCATGTGTTGCATGACTGGCAAGGAACAGGAGATTCTGGAGTAGCCCCAGCTTGAGCATCCATTTCTGGCAACGAGGGGTAACGTTTTGAATAGGAGTATCACATTAGGTTGAATTTCTGCACTATGAGCAAATCCAAACTGACAAGGTGCTTTCTCAGCACCGAGCGCTGCTACACCCCAGTTCAGCACGGCGGGGTGCTGAACCAGCGTAATCCTTTGTACGAGTTGAGCAACAAATGGATCACTGCTTAGTACATGAGTACTACGCGTGTAGTTAACATTCAGCAAACAGCGAAGTTGTATTTTAAGCAAAGTAGATACACGCACTCTTAGACTACAGAGACAGCACCCAGCACGGATCCAACAGCACAAGAGAGTGTAGCAGAAGCTCTGATGGTGCATATCATTGAGCTTGCAGACTGTTTGGCACCACTTCCATCCACGATAAAACAATCAAAACCTGATGCAGGAACTTCTGCTGGTACTTGTGGTTTAACCTAACTTGCTGGACATAGCAAAAATCCGTGGTTGTTTCTGTATTGTGTCCCCCAACTTTGCAGACTTGCATTTCTCCTTAGCCCACACCGTAAAACATCTCTACAACGATGGCATGCCTTGAACGGTGCTCACTGTACATTGTCTTACTGTGAACGACAGGCTTCTTCAAGCCCAGTTCTGACTGCAGTAGAAACCAACCTCCAAACGATGCTTTTTCCCCCATGAGCTTTTCTGAATATCACACTTCCAAATTCAACTGCAGCACTGCACTCCTTTAAAGCAATAAAGGTAAGTACTCACCTCTGCCCAACCTTCCTTGAGCAACGTTGTCTAACAGCACATCGATGCTGCGGCTCCTGGTACACAGGCGCTGCCGCCACAAGGAAAACTGCGCCTTGGCAGTGCCTGCACTCGTGGTCCTCACCTGCTCTGCGCGGTTGTGAAGGGGAAAAGGCAGGAAGGCATGCCCCTCGCAACCACGCAGTCCAGAAATCTAAGTAGCGGTCTGCAAAAGGGCCGTGTGTCCTGTTGGAGAAGTCCTACCAGGCTGTCTCTCTTTTTCCCTTGTTTACTTGAGGTGAAGTTTCTTGTGATGACGAGCAAGATCTACACCCCTCCCACATGACCCAAAGCAAACCTTACGAACACCTAGTTAAGCAGACAGCAGCTGAGCTTCAGCTGCTCTCCAGGCAGCCTGTACTGCAGGAGCACTCCCCCAAGACTCCTCTTGCTGCTCAGCCCTCATGGCTGGAGAGGGCTGCCTCTGCACCGAGTGAGAAGATGCCTTTACCTATGAGTCACCCCAGGGGAACATAACACAGACGTGAGCAGTGCAGCAAAACCTTGGGTTTGTCCTGCTCAGTGTCTCTCTCCAGTTGCAGCTTCCTCCCGTTTCTGAGAGGCTGAGGACCCAAGCGCCCTTTCCAGCAGCAGGGAACAAGATTCTCGTCCTTAACTGGGAGAGAAGCTCTCGGAGGCACCACCATGAATCAGGACAACTAAAATCTTCGCATCGTGCTTTTAATTGGTGCGCTGGTCCTTCTCCCACGGCTTACAGCAAAGGCGTGAAAGCCTGTAGCTCACCGCACTGCACACTGCGTGCTAGGACAGAGCCAAGGATGTCTACAAAAGCAGAAATACCATCGATTTTCCTGCCATTAGGGATTAGCTACGTGCATGTGCAGAGTAACCCCACCCTTTCACATCACGTTCCTGCTTCTTCTAAAACCTGGGTAACTTGTATTTCCTCTGTTGTTTCATGGTGTTGACAGTGGAGGTGAAAGCAACACTGAGAGGGGGCCTGAGTTCCAGCGCTTTCTAGGGCTCCCTGATTCCACAGCCTCCCGTGTCTTTGGGGAGGTGTGGCCTGTCCTTTTCCCAAGCCCTGATCTGTGTCCTTCCTTCGCCCAAGAGCTTCACTGAAGGAACTGCTGCTGTGATGAAATCTATCTGGTTTTATTAGAGGGATTACCCAGGATTATGTTAGCAAAACACCACTACACCCACTTGCCTCTAACAAGTGCCAACACAAATAGTGCTCAGGCAAAGAGACATTTTCTCTCTCTTTTTTTTTTTCCCCCATAAAGAGCTGAAGGTTTTTGAGAGGTAAAAAACTTTGTTTCTAATGTTGTACTACTTTGCTAGGAAATATTTCCAAGGGAGATGAAATAAACAGCCGCCATGTGATGAAACGAAATAAATACCCCCTTTGCTGAAGTCCTGCCAAATCCTCGTCTTGTTCAGCAAGATGTCCCAGCCCTGAGATATTCTCTTCAAATCAGTGTTTTTTGGAGGGATTTTCCTCTAGTATCATGGCTGGAGCATCTTAACTACTCTGAGTTCAGTCCTCTTACTTGCACCCCAGCAGGCTGAGTCCCACGCTAACTTGTGGGTAAAAATTAAAATGGAATAAGGAGCTTGGCTTTGCACAATCTGGAAATATAGATTATGACCAGAAGCTAGCAGGTGGACTCACACGGGCTGATCCTTTTGCCTTCACCAAAAACGTGGAGTACGCCATGCAAAGCTCTCTGAACCCTTTTCCCTCTATTGTACGCCAACCACAGAGCTTTCTATAGACTGGGAGCAAAAACTACTGAAGCTTTGGGAGAAAGATCATTTTTGTGCAGCTCATCTGACCTGCTCATGTGCTGAGTGACACAAACACCTCCCCTGCGTGCCTGTTTTACAGATGGCTTCTAGCGTAAACTGGCAAGCCCCAGATGTTGAAGCAGAGCTGGAAGAAAACACTGCAGTAAGTTCAAAGTGGGTAAGTTCCTTGTTCCAATTCCCGTGCCTAAGCTTGGTGACTGGCTCCACTTTGCACACCTGGAAACATTACAGCCTAACCGCGTTTTTGAAGACCGTACGTCTCCCTTCTATCCATGAAATATGACATTTGCTGAGTATACTTTATTGCAATAATACCAGTTAGAGAGGCTGCAAAATTCACTTGCCAGCAGTGAACACTTCTACTCCTGTGTCTGCACACGAAATGCCTTTTTCTCTTCTTGTGGCTTGAGAGGGAAGTAGTTATTCTGGAGGCAGGATTGGAAGTCATCTGCCTGACTTTTTTGTGAAACCCAAGGGGAGCTGAGCTCACGGGAACATCACTCCGCATCTAAATGCATGTAACCGTAGTGCAGGTGGTGGGTCTGCGTCTCTCTGAACAAACTAGCACTGGGTGTGGATTGCATGGGCTGTACTTCATCAAGTTTAAATACTTGCTCTTAAATATCTCGCATAACACATCACAGAGGTTTGACTGCACAGTCCTGCAGTTTTGCTTTCAACCGCCTGGCCCTACATAACCTCTATCCCTTGGACATGAACAGGTACATGTTCCTAATTAAGACAGAAGAAACACAAATGTATAAGCAGAGAAAAAGGCAGAGGGAGCTCATACAGCTTCTGTGAGCAGCACTCCTGAGCTTTTGGTGCTCTCGAGCGAAAGCCAGGGATGCCGATACTGCTTGCTCCTTCCCTTCAGTATCCACAGCTGCCCACTGAATGGTTGTCCAGAGACGCTTGCCACAGCAAGAGGAGATACACCTTGCTTTGTCAGTCTTGCCACACAAATGTTTTGCAGGACCCAAAGAGAGCCCTCAGGGTAACCCAGCGAGAGGATGCAGAAGATGCTTCAGCAGCCATCAGCAAATACATACGTAGGAAGGAGTGGGAAAAGCGCATCATTAGGCTCTCTGCAAACAAGGTGCTCTTTCCAGTCCTCAGCCACGCGCTCGCCAGCAGCCTCCTTGGTGGGGCCTGGTGCTCGTGCATGGCTGAGGGCTGGGGCACACTAGCCTGACGGAGCAGGGTGGGAGCGTGGAAGGGGAGCAGCGTGGCTGGCTGAGGGACCAAGCCAACGCAGCTCCTCTGCAGGAAAGCAGTGGGCAAAGCAAGAGCATCTCTTGACACTGATGGAGAAAGGTGCCATGCTCATCAGCCAGCCAAGCTGGAGAGGACTGCCCTTTGTGTCCCATCTCCAACTGAGCGCAGCTAAGCTATTTCACTGCCTATGTTTCTTCCAAACTAAAAGCACCTACTGATGTACCTGCCCGCTCTGCCAAACAGGCACTAGAGAAAAGACAATTACCACCTCCACTCAACCCCTGCCTCCACCCACTTCACGTGATGTCTAACAGAGATGTCAGCAAAGCCCTAGCACAGTTTCTGGGTCCCCCACAATCTCGTTGTGCACCATTTTGAAGGTGTCAATGAACAAGTCCATCCACTCTTGCCGCTCATTTCCAGTGGCAAACTTGGCTTTTTCGGCGGTAAAGGCCAAAGTGGCCACCAGCTGGGTGTACATGCTGGGGTCTTGGGTTTCCCGCGTGGAGTTTAGGAACTGGGCGATCGAATGTATGGTGCTGGGGAAATCTATGTTGACTCCCTCTTCCATGGGGCGGAAAATAAGTGGGTTTACGTTCCCAGGGTTCCTGTCATCTGCAAGTGAGGGTCAAAAGAATATTTTCAGGGCTTGCTAGCAATGGCTGGGTCTCTGAAAGCTACCTGGCTTTCCTACGTGCACTGCACCAGAGAAGAACAGAACTAACAAGGACAGAGGAGTAAAGACCAAAGCCAGATCTTAAATCTTTCTGCCACGTTTATGAGGAACTGTGGGATTTGTACTGAAATCACTCACAATATCAACCGAGAGACCTCAGAAAATGACATGGAACCCTAACTGCCCAGTTCCTTGCTACTCATCCACCACAAGCACGAAGGAGAAAGAGCAGTGCTCAGGAAGAGGGCCACGAGGTCCGACTTCTTTCTGCATAGGGGATTCAGCCATCACATAGCTTTGAACTCTGCTACGTGAAAACTGCACACATGATGCTGTACAGCCAGGGAAGACATCTAAGGGACAGCATTATGTGAACTCCTTGCCTGGCACTCAGCCCGCTGTGTTTTGGCTAGAGTCACTGCCCTGCAGTGTGCAATGCTCCTGCGCAGTGTCCGGGCTAGTCAGGACCCAAGAGCCTCCATCTCCACCTGGCTGAGCTGAACTTAAATTTGAATAAAATCCCAAAGCTCAAAGCAAAGCCTTTTGCATGGGTTAGAAAGAGCCTCACAGAAGGTCATGCAGTTTCTATTGAAGCAAGTGGTCAGTTCAGGTTTGCTCAGCGTTTAACCCATTTAACACTCCAGCATCCCGTTAGCACCGCACTAATCGATGGGCGGTAACAGAGAGAAAAGGGTCTGGCTGAAAACAGGAAAACCTGCATTTCCTTAGGCAAAGCACTGAGGCAGCATGCCTTCGTCTGCGGATGAACCCAAAGTGGCGACGTGCCTGGCTCTGCAAGGCAGCAAGGGAGGAAGCTGGGGTGTATGCACTACCTGTCCCTCTCTGTGCTCAGCTGACAATACCCAGGCTGGAGCTGGCGTACCTGGCATGAGCCATTGGTTTGCTCCTGAAAGTGCCAGGACTGCAACTGTGACAGCCATGGGGCCAAGAACAGGGCTGGGTGTAGCTGCCTCCGCGACTTCAACCTGTCTGGCCTGTCTATGACTGGACACACGCATTGGACGTGCATAAAGCTCGCTCACTCACATACCCTGCGAAGGGCACCGTCTCCACCCTGAGGGTTTGCAGGTGAATTGGCACCAACTCTTGAGATGTTCTCGGAGAACCGCAGGAAGCTGAGCACTGAGCAGAGAAGCCCCAGGCTCTGTTACGTGCCTTATGTCACATCCCATCCAATACATTCCTTTGCCACTACGCAAATGTGATCATGACAAATCCTGCTAGATGATGACGGTAACGCATCACGGATCATCCAGTGTGGCAGGGGGAAGGCGCTTTGCCCAAAAGCTGCTGAATCCTTGGGTATCACGTAAAACTTGGTCTACCACGCCTAGTATAGATCTTTGCACATCAGGACAACTTTTGCCCATGCTGAGATTCTTGTACTGGCACTTTCACACGAGGCCCACACCTACCCGGCCATGTTGCTCCATCTCCCAAGTCCTCTGGGGTGCAGGTGTAGGGCTTGCACTTGACCTGGCCTGCCTACGGCATGGCTTGAGGGATTCGCCCAAGAGTGAACCCCCTCAGATGCCTCCTCAAGCCATTTCTCCTCTGGTCCCCAGGACTGGCAGGTACCAGCGACCTGTTCTCACCTTGCATCAGGAACAGAAACACCCAAGTGCACTCCAGGGAAAGGACTGCCAACTTCACCTTGTTTGGAAGGCTTTGATGGCCTAAGCGTAGGAGAATATGAGTGTTCCACTGCTTGGGTCAGTCTCTCTCCTGCAGTGTTCCTCAGGAACGGGGAGGCTGCAAACACCAATATCTTCAAAGACACCTGAGCAGTCACCAGTGTGGCATGGGGAAGTCACCTCCTTGTGCATGGATCCACAGGACAAAGCTCCTCAGAGGACACTGCAGAGGAGCCTGTGTGGATAGCTCAGCGTCATGGTTGGACATTGTGCTCTCTGCATGGCCAGGTGCAAATACTCAAAATATTACCAAAAGATTTTAGATGGGAATAATTGTATCTTTACTGACTTCAGATTTCTGAGCATCCTGGGACCAGTTTTCCTTTGCTTTGTATGGACTTCTCTGAGAATGAAAGTTGATAGAGGGTCTACAAGGAAGGATGGAGAGGGACTTTTCACAAGGGTGTGTAGTGATAGGACAAGGGGGGAATGGCTCTAAATTGAAAGAGGGCAGATTTAGATTAGACACTAGGAAGAAATTCTTCACCATGAGGGTGGTGAAACACTGGCACAGGTTGCCCAGAGAAGTCGTGGCTGTCCCCTCCCTGGAAATGTCCAAGGCCAGGCTGGATGGAGCTCTGAGCAACCTGGTCTACTGGAAGATGTCCCTGCTCATGGCAGGGGGGTTGGAACTAGATCTTCAAGGTCCTTTCCAACCCTTACCATTCTATGATTCTATGATATTCTGTATAGTATTGAGTTGAAGTTGGGGACTGTCACAAAAACTTACTCATGGCAAGAGTAGAGATAAAAATTGCCAGAACTAGCAAAACTTTTTCCCCTATAAGCTTTGTGTGTATCAGCAAACAGTGCATCTATTGTATTTACAGAGGCACAGAGACTCAGACAGACAGGACCTCTAGGAATTCAGCTTGCAGATCTGCGCCTTAACAAGCAAAATGTGATGAAGTAAAGCTACCTGCAGCGAGCAGCAGCCATCTCTTTTATACCAGAGGATCCTTACAGCCTTTTTCCTTTGATCCAACACCATGAGTTAATTGTTAATTAAATACAGCCAGCGTTAGAGAAGCCAAAGCTTTGGGTCCACTGTGGTGTCATTTTCCAAACGGTCCCTCCCCCCTGCTCCGCCCGTGTCGCTCCCAAGGAGCATCCTGCCCAGTGCTGCAGGTTGGGCTCTGCATTTCAAAGCTCACACGGGTGAGAGAGTTTAGCAAGGGGGTTTTGACTTGATATATAATGGAGACATGGAACAAGTGAGAAATTAATTGCTGAGTTTGGAGGTCAAAACCTGGTGGCTCCCAGGAATTGGGACAGAGAGAACTATCCGGGCTGAGCCATGCTGGTGCACTAACGCAGTGCACTTGTACCTACCTGCGCAGAGAACTCAGAGAGACAGGAAAAGAGCAGGAGATGAAAACCTGGAGCCTTTCCTGACGTAAAATCACACTATTTCCCAACCCCCTGCCATCCAAAGGGAATGAACAGGATTGCACACTCCCCTCCCATTCCTGAACCTTGTGGACTCTCCCTCGGACCTACCCCTTTGTGCAGATGACATGAAGCTACTTGTAATGTTTACCTGTCTGACAGGGCAGCTCAGGACAGACGATCTGTGGATCTAGAAGGAAAAGAAACAAGGAAAATTGAGTGATGTGCTGCCACTCCCCTTCACGGCTTGCACAGCCAGGGTGGCAGGGCGAGGTCTCTCAAAAGGGGAAAGCATTCCAAAGCACTGCCCCAGAAGGCTGGCCCGTATCTCAGGAAGTATTATTTATCCAGAGCTCCATAAAGGTCAGCCCCCACCATGAATGACCCAATTTATGAGCTATGGCCAACCTGGTGGAACACAGTGCCTCTGCGATCATTGCAACACACCATATATGGCCCCCACCCCAAACCCCAGGGGCTAGAAAACTCCAGTTTCCGTAAGCAGTGCAAGGATAGGTACAGACCTGGGCAGAGCACGTCCTCCATCTTGTCAATGAATTCCTCTGCCACCAGATCTGAGAAGAGCCTCATCTTCTGAACTCGCTGGGGTTCATTGCATGCGATGGACACCAGGGTCTCACTCTGTTCTGGCTGATCAAACATGTCTCCAATGCCAATGGTGTTGACGACCACATCTCTACCGCAAAGAGCCCCTAGGTTCTTGTCGTCATCCCGGGGGTCATAGCGCCCATCCGTGATCACCACCGCAAACACTTGGGCTTTCTCTCGCCTGCTTTCCTTGATGAGCTTGTTGTAGGCAAACTGAAGGGCAGAAGGTGTCCAGGTGCCTCCAGCAATCCACTCCAGGCGCTTCACTGCTTCCTTGAAGCTTGACAGTGAATCAATGCGCTCATCATCAAGCTTGATGGCTTCGAAGGTCCCCTCATGACTGTACTGCACCACCCCAACACGAGCACCTGCCAATGAAGCGTCACGTTACTTGGCTTTGTGTCCTCAGTGAAAAGTGGAGAAAGGCAGCAAACTTTCATATCAGCAAAGAGCTGCCTGACTGGCCTACAAAGACAGGAAGTGGAAAAAGCAGAAACTGCTGCAAAAATGCTGGACAGATGGATTGCAGCCCAGGACAGCTACGACAAATGTGGAAGCTGGAAGGATCCAAGACTTTTCTTTTCCCCATGCCCTGCTCTGTCCCCACACAGTCCAGACCTGTCTGCGACTTGGGGTCCTTGGCAATAGAGCCCAGCCGGCTGACCACATTGACCACAAAATTTTTCTCCAGGGTGAAGTTGGTGTAGCCAATACTCTCTGAGCTGTCTATGACGAACATGATGTCCAGGGCACCGCAGCGCTTCTCACAGTCTGGGGAGAGGGACAGCAGGAGGAAAACACAAAGGTCAGTGATGGTGGGAACAAGACCCACCAGGGCAGAAGAGACCATCTGTGAGAAGATGGATACAGTTAGGACCACACCAAGTGTCCACATGGTCTGTGGTGCTGCCCACAGCTGGCAGCATAGGGAGAATTTTACATGCATCTTTCTGTCGACGTATATCAAAAGAAACCTTTCTAATCTTGCTGTGTAATACACTCTATCCTATCATCGGGACCATGCAATTCTGTATAACAGCTCCCTGCTTCTGCGATGGCAGAGCTGAATTTTGGGGATGTAAGCCAGGCTGCCCCTGCAGTGCCACTGCACTCAGTGGTGGGCTGGGACCGGGGCGAGCAGGGAAGGACTTCCCCTGGTGTCTCCTCTGCAGGGCGCAGCGCTGTGCAGAGCAGCAAAGAGCCTGCCGTGCCAGAGGCTCCGTGCAAAGGGCAGCTCATGGGGCAGAAGAAGGGCCTGCTGAAGAAGGAGGCAGCCTCTGGTGATGTCTCTTTTGCCATCCCTTGAGTAGTCATTGCCCTGCCACGGGGAGAGGCGATGGTCTCCTTACCACAGCATCCGCACGTCTCTCGCACGTAGGTCATCACGTCGCAGTCCTGCCAGCAAAGGGGTGCAGGGTGAATGCCTGCCTCCCCTTACGCAGCAGCCTCCCTCTCCAGGGAAAAGGCTTCCCTTTCCCTTCCCACCTCGCAGACCCCCTCCCCTCTCTCCTTGGCTTCCGCTGGAAGCCACGGGCCACATCTGCTGGGCAGCAGCAGGACCTGACGCCCTGTTACATCTCAGGCTGCGCACAACAAAGTTGCCCAGGAGGAAAAGCGCTGGGGGGCTGCAGAGCAGGGCTACTTACAGTCAAGCCAGGATCTCCCGCTGGGCCGGGGGTCCCCTGTAAGAAGAGCGCACAGATTTCAGGCACACTTTTCCCATGAATTCCCTTTCTGGGATCTAGATGTCAGAGCCATCAAAAACGTGGCTTTTTGCAGAGGTCTGCCATGGGAAGGGTAGGAGAGCCTCGCTGGGAGCCAGCAGATACGTCTGGCAGCTGGTGTCCTGTCCGGAAAACCCTGCTGTGGGGACACTCACTGGGGTCCTCTGGGCTTTAGAGCATCAGGGAGAAGTGGGGAGGTGAGGAGGGAACTGTGGCATCTGCTCAGACATGGTGGCACGGTACTGTACCTCAGGGCCTGGTTCACCAGTTGGACCGCGGGGTCCAGGCTCCCCTCCTGGGCCAGGATCGCCCTGTGGAAGAAACAAGGAAGAGTCAAATATTTCCCTGGCAAGGATGGTGATGCAGCTGCTGGTTTTCGGAGCTCCTCCTGACCCCCTCGTCAGGCATAGCCCTGCTAAGAGCAGCCACCAGCCGGCCACAGCTGAGCTTGGGGACACAGGGCAGACAGGAGAGCGGCCAGCGCCGTCCCCCGTCCCCAGTACGCCTGGAAGAGGTGTGGGAGGGGGATGCTGACCCCGCAGGCAGTATAGGAAGTCTACTTACTGGTTCCCCCTTCACTCCTTTGGTGCCTTGCACTCCTTTTGGTCCAAGCTCACCTCTTCCTCCCTGCTCAAAGGAAGGAGAAACAGATCCGGCATGGAGCACATCTGGATATGTTCAGGCAGAGTCTTTACTTCTCTGAGCTTGTCAAACACATGCCTGGTCCAGGAAAGCACCTTCTAAACCAGCAGCTTAGCGCAGAGCATATAAATGGTGTTTACACAGGCATTAACTAAGTTTTTACAAACCATATTTCAGATGGTTTCGAAAGGAGATGGGCGTGGGAGATACACCCAGGCTCCGCAGCTGCAGGGAACAGCCGGAGCAGCTGCCAGCAGGACAGGCTCCCCGGCCACACACCCGGAGGGGTGGGCGACAGCCACTCAGCATTTCAGTCAGGATAAGAAAACAGGCGATGGAGACAAACACACTCACCTTGGGTCCCGGCTGCCCCTTCTCACCCTTGTCACCCTGCGAAAGGAGAGGAGGGAGCGGTCAGCACCCAGCCGGTACTGGCCCCACACCGTGCACGCATACGTCCAAATGTTGCAGTGAGGGGCACAAAGCTGAACAGCAGGTGTAGCTTCAGGCTGATGGTTGGGGTCGTGGGTGCGGTCACCTCCCCATCACCACTGTTGAGGCTGGGGTCCCCAGCACCTCTGTCACAAGGCTGATGGAGATGCAGCCAGGTTCGGTCCTGGTGTTCAACCTCCCATCGCCACCTTTGAGGGCTCCACGGTTTTGTGACCCTGATCGTTTTTCTTCTTCCTTCCCTCCTCTCCCAGGCTTCTCGGCTCCAACATCAACCTCCACCAAAACAGGCTTCCTTGGGGGCACGTCTGTCTGTGCAGGACATGGTATACATACCTGCGGTCCTCTGGGTCCAGGGTAGCTAAAGCCAGGCCTGCCTCTGTCACCCTTTGGTAGAAAAAAAAAAGGCCCGGGGTAGCAAAAGCCGGCCCTGCCTCTGTCACCCTTTGGTAGAAAAAAAAAATGACCCATCAGAAACCAAACCAAGCCTTTCTGACCTGGTGAAGCCTGTGACAGTCAGAGCTATTTTCATCCTCTCTCGGGGTGAGACACCACCAGGAGCCGTGACTTCTGCAGCTGGCCCTGAAACATTGGGAAAGGCTGTGCGGAGCAAGGCTTCGCAGGGTCTTGGGGATGTCACAGGCCAGGGATGACACTGAATCTGTGCAGGGTGAGGGGTGTAATCAGAGTTGCTTTGGCCAGAGTGAGACCCACATCTTTACCCTGTAGGGAGGCTCAGGTTTGAGCCATTCTGTTCCTGAAGCATACAAGTTTCTGCAGTGGAAACTGCCGTTTTTTTAATAATAAAATAAAAAGCACACCAGAATACCCTTTCAAATGCAGAGTTGCGTTCAGGTACATTACCTTTGGTCCTGGTGGTCCGGCATCACCTCTCGGGCCCAAGTCACCAGGGTCCCCACGTGATCCCTGCAGGACAGTGTTGGGGAGAGCAGAAGCAGCGGGTGAGGATATTCCCTGCGGCTCCCTGGCCTCACAGGAGACCATGCTGGAGAAACCAGCTGTTGAGATAATGCTGCAGGACCACCTCCCCTCCTGATGAGGTTACTGTGACTGATTCAGTGCTTGGGTTCCCGCATCCCTTGGAGCCACATGGATGTCATGGCACTGTGGCCACAGTGGGGTGCTGGACTAACCACAGACCCAAGACAAACAGGTGCCCGGGGAGCCCCATCTTTCCTTGCCCAGTGACCTGCTCTGACGTAGTCTCTTCCACCTTGTCATGGGAACACCTGGGCACTGGGAGCAATGGAGAAGCAGGGACTCCCTTGGTCCCGAAATTTCTGCTTGCCCTGGGAAGGGCTAGCCAGGTGCCTCTGGGCGAATTTCTGAGCCTCCCTGAGAAAAGCTCAAGCAGGGTCCCCTCGGGAGTGATGGTGTAGCCAGCTTGTGTCAGTAGTGCAAGGGAGGACACGGTCACAGAGATGTCCCAGGATGACTTACTATGTTGCCTGGCTCTCCCACAGCACCTGATGGGCCTCGAGGTCCTGGCAGTCCTTGGTCTCCCTGCAAAGTGAAGCGAGACACAAGAACGTAGAGAGGCAGGTACAGGCAGGTGTGCCAGAGGAGGAAAGCTGGGCTGTCACCAACCCCTGCTCCGTGCTTACCCTTGCTCCTTTGTTTCCAACCTCGCCAGGCAGGCCACGAGAACCCTCTGGACCAGGATCTCCCTGTGAGAACGACAAAGATATTCCTGGTCAGGGATGTCCCCATCGCTGTTTATGTGCACGTCAGTGCTTCTTGGAGTGAGGAGGCATGGCGCTCTTCTCAAATCTTGTGCTTCTTGGCTTGAAACAGAGTGTTAGGGCAGTGTACCCTCTGAACACGTCTCTTAGCCTCGAGCTTTGCAGCTCTTCATCTCTTCTCTGGATCAAGCCCTGGAAGAGGAGGCTGTACCTGCTGCCATCAGGGCAGGCAGCAGGCACAGTGGGAGCAGAGCACACATGCAGACCCCACCGGTATCTGCTGTTCCCAGCTCTGGTGTTGGACACTTCATGGCTGGGCAGCAGCACATGACACACACCAGCCCTGTGCATCTTAGGCTCGTTTGCAATGGTCTGGGCAGCTGCTTTACTCACCCTTTCTCCTTTGGCTCCAGGAGTGCCTTTGCTGCCTTTTGTCCCTGGATCTCCACGTCGACCCTTTAAAAACACAGAAAGTCACGTAAATGGGTTGTGAAGATGGATACTACCTGAACAGTGATGCCTGGCTGCCCTGCTTTCTCCCTCCTGACCCTGGAAATGTCTCCTTGCCCCCTTAGCGAGCGTGTGCCTGGCAGCAGGGGAGCAGGGATGCCCATGCTGGCACTGCTTGGGGGACCTTGCCTGTGGCTTTTGGAAAGCCACAGCCAGACTATTCTTTCAGGAGGGTGGTCACCACAGTGGCCACAAACACTCATGGTTCATTCCTTCACAGTTAAAGACTCTGCTTTCCTTCCAGCTCACCTGGCGTTGCTTCCCGCACTAGATCTCACACAAGGACACAAGCCAGCTGGGCTCTGGCCTCTTCGTGCTGGTGGAGCTGTGCTGCTGTATTCTGCCAGGGAATGTCATCTCCAACCCACACCCTAAATTTTGCAGTGCCCCATCACATTAGCTTCAGTTTGTGTGGCACCATCGATGTCATGACACGGCTGTGATTTGATGCTGCCCTTTTGAGAGAGCTCTACCACAACAGCCACCAGACTCACACAGCTCGACTCTGTGAGCTCCTGTGAGAAGCCTGAGGTTTGAGGAACTTGCTAGAGTACAGCTAAAGGGTCCCATGGCATCCACAGATGCATTTGTGGTTATGTGAGAACACAGGATGCTTCTCTAAGGTGAGATGGTTATCATCAGGCTTGGGACTATGGATTACTGCTCTGTGAAGATGGGGGAGACAAGGAGATCAGCATCTGCATATCTTTTGGCACGCAGAAAATAGGAGAGGCAGGCTAAATGAGGCAGTTTCTCAGAGCTCATCCATGAAACTGCATCAGGCTTCCATGGTGTGCCCACTGTCCAGAGAGCTATTCAGACACTTACAGGCTCTCCTTTGGGTCCAGGAGGTCCTGCTTCACCTCTTCCTCCCTTAATTCCAGCAGGCCCTTGAGCTCCAGGGTCGCCTGGAAGACCCTTGGAGAAAGAAAAGAAATACGATTTGTCGGAAGAGAGGTCAAGGTGCACATACACACACACCTCTTGGCTGTGTCAAGCAGTCCACCCTTCAGCAGATGTATGAGCACGTGATTTATGCTTCCACACACCCACCATGCCTGCATGTCACAGCTATGTGCACAGGCTCCAGCCTTGGAGCAATGGGATGCTGTGTCACCTTTTCTCTATCAACCAGTGCAAAGGCTTGTCAACTCTTCCTTACAGCATCTGCCCAGCCCTGCTTAAAGCCAGAGGACTATTTCAGCCATCTCCGCTGTGTCTGAAGTAACTGGCCATTAGCATAGCAACCCCTTTGACTATAAGGTCCAGTGCAGTGGGTAAAGCCTGCGTTAGATCTCTGAGCAATTAATCACTGAAGTTTACTCACGTGAATAAGAACAGCCTGTGAACACTGGCACTGCCACAAACACCAAGGAAGTCGTGAGACTGTGGCAGGGGAAACCATGGCTAAACAAGGCCTTTCCACTCAGGAGAAGATGGGAAGACAAGGAAAGATGCAGTGCAAAGGGTTGGCTAGGAAGGTAAATCCTCCTTTTGCCCGCTTTTCTCTGCTCTGGACAAACACTCGAGACCCGGGCCCACTTTGCTCTGGGCAGCTGCAGGGATGTTGCGCAGTCCCCCCTCCTGCTGCCCACATGATGTTTCCCACCGTACTGACAGTGACATGCATGGCGGGACAGCTCACGTGACCACCCAGGGACTTGTGCCTTCTCCATGCTGGTGGGCTAATTTGCAGAGTCGCCAGGATGCCTTGGCAAGCAGTCGTCTTTGTGCTGCAGCTGCCCCGTGACCAGCAGTTCATACCACCCCAGCTCCCCAGCACGTGGAGCAGAGCCTAGTAAGACACTGCAAACATCCGAACGCTGCATGAACCTACCGGGCTTCCTCTTTCTCCTGGAGGTCCTAGCGGTCCACTGCGACCAGGCCGGCCAGGATCTCCCTAAAACAGCCAGAGAGAAAGAGTCATTGCCCGTGTCACCAGCATGTTGCTGTGCACCACTGACGTGCACCATGAGGAGCCCAAGGAGCACGGCCAGCAAGGCTCTTCCCTTGTCTCCGGTGATCATTGATGGGATCCAGACCCCAGGCAGACAGAGCCTATGGGCTCCATGAGTAGCGAAGGATTTAAGAGCAAATATAGGCAATGGTGTTTAGCTGTCCCCACTGGTGGCCTTTGCCCACACTCTGCTCGCTCTTCAGAGTATTCGTACCTTTATGCCTTCATCTCCTCTTTCACCTTGGTCTCCTGCATCTCCTGGGTAGCCATCAGGGCCCTAGGGAGGGAAAGGACAAAGAACCACACATTTTGGAGTGGCAACAACATTCACTTTCCCTGCAGACTAAATCAACCAGCTTAGAGAGTTGCTCTAGAGACTAAAAGTTTTTGCTTGTTGCTAGTGTTGAGGAAAGGAGCAGCTCCTCCTCTCTATTTGAAGGGATGGGACGCTGGGGGATCTCAGATTACTAGCCCATGGAAAAGAGGCACAAAAACATCAGGCTGTGCTCCCCATTCCAGGGATCCCAAGCCTGGGGGATCAGATCATGTAGTCGGTTGGAAAATGGGCCAGTAACCTCTCAGTGGCTTTATCTCTCTGCATGTGCAACTCATTCAGCAGCTAAAGTTGTGGCGATACGTCTGATGTGCCTAGTGAAAGAGTAAAGCGTTCCTACCTTGTCACCAGGGTCTCCCTTACAGCCCGGTGGTCCAATTCTCCCCAGCTTTCCCTAGAGAGACAGCATTCACAAGAAGAAGAGAAGCTGTAGGTGTCTGAAGAGAAAATACAGCTTTTCCTGTTAACAGTTACTAATTTTTAACATCATCCGCTGACTGTAGCTGCAATCAGTTAGAGAATAAACAGTAAGTGTATTCCTTAAACAGGAGTGTAGCGTGCAGAGACAAATGGAGGAGGAGAAAGTAGTCAAAACACCTCAAGTTGTAACACGGGCATTGGTGGGAATTCAAGCATGCTCATCCTGTACACGTGTCCTGGGTGATGGACACGTCCCTTAAGGCTGGATTTGGTGGTCACTCACATCCACAGTTGTGCTGGTCCTCCATTGTGCATCTGGCACCCGAGCAGCTCAGGTGCACGGGAACCACGCTGCCCGATGGATGCCATGAGAGCAGTGACTGCCTTGCTCTGTGCCCCAAAATGGCTTTGCTGGCAGGGCTTAGACAGCTCCCCCTGGCCAGAGAGTGGTGGTGACCGAAGGACTTTGTTTGAGAGCATCAGCAGGCATTTTAGGAGTGGGAAGAAGAACTGGTATTATCTCACAGATGTACTTGGCTGGGTATACGACAAAGTGCAGAGAAAAATCAGTCCATGCTAGCCAGCAGACAAAGCCAGGTGAAATAATCTCAAACTAAGCTGTCCCACTGTGGTACATCTGCATGGCACGCAGATCTAAGTGACGTCGTGGCTGTCTACAGTCACCACAGAGGAGACAGAGGACTGAACCCGGTTTTAGGGGTTTAATATTAACAAGAACTATCTTAGAAATGAAATTTCAGATTCTGTGACAAGCTGCCATGAAAACCAAATTTCTGCAGAACTCTCTGTGTAGATGTCCTGCAGGGGTCAGTAACGCTCCGGATGGCTGCACCCAGATGATCCGGCTGTGTCTCCTCCTGCAGCAGGAGCACAGCTAGGTTACATATCCCGTTCCTGCAGGGAGCTTGCTGATGAAGGGATAGCACTTCTGTGACCTGAATTAATTTATCAGCTAGCCCACGTATTTCTGCAGGACATGTAGAATGATGTGCAAATAAGTTCACAGAAACCTCAGTTGGTTAGAAGAAAAAGCTAGCATGCGGGATGGGAGAAACAAAACAACCTGAGGAGACAAGGGTGGGTAAAGAAATGAAACAACAGCAGCAGCAGCATTACAGGGTGCTCCCAAGTGGTGTTACCTTCTGTCCATCGGTGCCATTCCTGCCTGCCAAACCAGCGGCACCCTGGGATAAAGGGGGAGAAGAAGAGGGATCAGTGGTCTGTTAACACACGCTCAAGGGTTGGTAGCTGGAACGACATGCAAGTTACAAAATATCCTTTCTTACCCTCCGTCCATCAGATCCAATCTCGCCCTGGGGAGAGAAGAGGACAGGAGTTAGCCACTCTGCCTACATCTCCTCACACCCATTTACATCATAAAAACATCACCGCTTTGCAAGACCATGAGCAACACCTGGAGGAAGAGACAGGCTTTGGGATACCCCTGGAAATCCCTCCCCATGTCTGCAGTCACACATTAATAGGGTCGTTATTCTCCTCGTTACACCTAAACTCTCCCTCTTTGCAGCAGAAAGGTGCCCCTCCCACTCCCCAAGTACCCAGACGTGCCATTTGGTGTCTTCTTTCTCACCTTCTCTCCTTTCAGCCCTGGGACACCCTAGACAAAAAGAAGAGAAGAACCCTGCGTTAGTACCTGGGGATCAGCAGGAGCAGAGGCAGAGGAGTGCCGGGGGTCTCGCATGGGAAACAGGCAGGTGAGGGGGAGAAGCAGAGCTGCTTTGCCAAAAGTCAACAAATGCAAAGAGCTCAGCCACCGGCTGTGGGATTCTTACCTTGGGACCAGGGTATCCGATCGGACCTTCAATACCTGGGTCACCCTTAGGGGAGGAAGATACAGAGAGTTAGCTCGAGCGTGGCAGAGATGCGTCCCCATTTAATGCAGGAACAGCACTGCTGGCTGTGGCGGGGGGTACTTTCCACAACTTACCTGTCGTCCCTTCAGCCCAGGGGAGCCTGGCTCACCCATATTCCCCTTTGCACCCTAAGGAAAGAAAAAACCCAACGTAAGTCCAGGCTTAGCGTCAACTGTGAGAAAATGGCAATTTCTGGGAGCATCAGGCTCACTGCAGCTGCTCCCGCAGAGCTTGGGGCAGCACGCCGGCGGAGCGGGACCTGCTTTATTCTGGGGAAGTCACGGAAAGGCTGTATGGGGAGGGGAGCACACAGAGCTGGGGGCAGGAAGGCAGGACACCCTGCACACGTCAGAGCTTTGCTCTTGAGAGTGGGAAAATCGGAGACAACTGTTGCCTCACTGCTGTTGTCCTCAGGTGCTGAAGGTGCCAGCTGCGGCTGGCATGGCTGATGCTCAGATGCCATCAGTGCATCAGCCTCAGCACGGACATGAGGAGACGCCGGTGCTGGCTGTGTGCTCCATTCATTGCAGCACAGCAGCACCCCAGGGCCAAGGCGGATGCTGGCAAGTTATTTCCCACCTGGGTGCTACGCCTGTGAAGGCTGCTGCAGGCGAGGTGAGATCTAGGGCATCCTGCAGTGTCAGTGGCAGGCACGGGCATTATTCTCCTCCCACAAGTTAGGGTGACTTACCTTCTGCCCTCGGTATCCCTTGGGACCAGGCGGACCTGCAATCTCCAGGCAGCTCATCTTGTAGCACTGAAACACAACAAATTGAACGGGAGGTGTGACCACCGCGCCGCAGTGTGCCGGCTGCTTCACGCGCTGAGCCAGCGCGCACCCGAAGCTCGGCTCTGCAACACGGCTCTCCACGCACCTCTCCCCGTGACCGCAGTGCTAACAGCTACTACGGCTCCAGCTGGCTTAGCGTAGAGGCAGCAACAAGCACGCAGAAAAATGCTGCCCGTAAATTAAAAGCAGAAATTTGCCACAAGCACGTTCATTATGGCTTGGCTCTTGGCCCAAACCAGACTGCTAAGCGTCAGACAAGGTGGCGTGGGCTTGCTCTTCTGGGGCTGTTAGGGGACGTGCATGCCCTTTGGAGAATCGCTCTGCACACTCTTCCCTATGTATGCCAAACCCTGTCCATGGGATGCCAGCAGGGTGGGAGCTTCAGCTTGCAGAGGACCTACGAAACATGCTTCCAAAGTGCCAAACCGAGTGTATTCAGTAGATCAGAATTCACTGCAGGTGAGAGGGAGGCAGAAAGTTAGTAGTCCAGTATGTCATTTTAACCACTGGGTAAGGGGATGGATCCCCAGTTTCTGCACTGATGCACAAGTGGACAGAGACCCATCTCATGCAGCTTGCTGCAAAATCTGGCCTGCTGTTTCGGGGTAGGAGCTAGTCTTCTCTGAGAGAGGCAACTTAAACCTGTGTCGTGTGGCAACGGCATAAAGATGCTGCTCACTCACCTCTCCGTAGGCTTCGTGTTTCTGCAAAGGAGAAAACAGGATGAACAGAATCAGTCAAGGAGGTCAGCTCCAATAGAAAAACAGCATCACACCCTTGGAGGTGTGTGTGACGGTCAGGGACATGAGGTGGTAAAGGTCCCATGCCTTTAAAGACATTCTCCGCAGAGTCTCTGGTTAACAGTGCCGCACAGGTGGGGCCTCAAAGACCATGCTGATGGTGAGCCCATACCTCAGTGCTGCACACTCGTCCACACGCCCCTGGATGGGGAGCAGGCTGGGGTATGGGTCTGGCCTTCAACAAGAGCCAAGACTAGGGTCGTAGCCTGCCCAGACAAGCTGGGAACTGAGGCGCAAACCAAGGAGCCCTAGCTAAGTACCAAACCAGAGAAATCAGAGATGCTCGAGACTCCACTTGGCCCATAAGTGCTGAAAGGACATAAAAAAGGAACAGAGGCTTTACCCTGCTAGAGATGCTCTCCAGAGCCCTGCCAAAACCCACCATGGGGCCCCTCAGAAAGCATCTCCCCATCTACGCGCTGCTTTTCTTCCCCCCTAGTACATTCCCTGCACCTCAGGCAGCACTCCATACCATAGCTTGGATTATCCTGTCAATGGTGTTCACATCAATGTCCAGGGTGTCCTTCTGTGTGATGGCGTAGTTGTTGCGGTACAGCTCGTGTGGCAGGTTGGCGATCTCCCGCAGTCCCTGCTCGTAGACGTTCTGGCTGGGGGCCACTGCGAACAGCTTGATCCCCATGTCCCGCGCTCTCTCAGCCTGCATCTTCATCCCACCGCAGGGGCTGCCAGTGACATGGCCATCAGTGATGACTACCGCAAAGTTCACGCCTGAGGCCATCTGGGTCTGGATCTGCTCCGTCATGTTGGAGATAGCGCAGTCCGTGAAGGTGCCCCGGCCAAGGTAGTTAATAGCGGACAGCCTGGGGAGGTATATGTCTTTGCTGCTCGTTAAAGGGCTGTAAATTTCCACCACATCCGAGTAATGAAGTCCACCAAACTGCCAAGTGATGTAGACTTGGTTCTGGTAGAGCTCATTCTCCAGTTTATCGATGAACACAGGGATGAACCGCTTTATTTGATCCACGAGGCTCTGGATAGGCACAGTCTGCAGAGCAACGCTCTCCGAGGTGTCAATGATGAAGTACACATTGATGGGGCAGTTCCTCTTTTCTGCACGGAGACAATTATTCAGACCATGTCAGAGCACTTCATGCACCGCTGCACCCCCTTCACTGTCCCCCAGAAACCTAGACCAAGAAGCGTATGTAGACAGCACATAGAGGGCAGCGCACAGAGTTATGAAGAGAGCAAACCACAGCATGACGTTCGAGGTTCAGCTTCGTGCGAGAGTGTTGCATCTCTTACTAACCAGAAGTTATTTCCATCTGGGTTGGAGGAAACGAGGAAACTGAGGGCTAAATGCTAGGTTTGAACGAAGAAGAGCAAGGGTATGACTTTTGCTCTCCTGCATTAAATGAATGCCCTGCCTGACAGGCTGCTGGTTGCTATCTGATTTATAAATATTTTCAAAAAGATCGTACCTGAGTGTGATACTGGGAAAAGCACAAGTCCCGCTTAGCTCTAGCAGTAACATCTGCATTCAGGCCAGATGATTCTTCAGCACCCAGGACCTCAAAATCCTAAGACCTGCTCACTATTGAATTAATCTTGAAAATCTTGCCATTTTTTGTAAAAGTTAGGCTGGACACATAAATCACCTCCTCCACATTCCAACTGAAAAGTGCTGAAATTGTCTAATTCAAAACGAACTATTCTCTGACGTCATATACAGAGCTGAGGTCTGCAGACTGACTGGTATTTATTACTGCATCAGCTGGCAGAAGCCACAGCTGGCAGACGCCAGCTCTTCAATCTCTACCTCTCTGCACTCCAATGCAAACCCAGAAATGGGAGTTTCAGTGGAGGATGGTGCTCCCTACAGACAGATCGCTATGCCAGGGCACTGCCCAGGAGTGCAAAGGGGCAGGACAGACGTAAAGTGCTACTGTCAGTTCCTTGTGAGTAGGCTCTAGAGCTGAGCCTGGCCATTGCTTTCGGTAAAATTGCTGCCTACAAGGGAGAGAGATACCCCAATTATCCAGTTAATACCTGTGCAGGAGGTAGGACTGACTTCTCCAGGATCCACATCAAGCTGAGCATGGAGAGGAACTAGAGCCACACAAAGGAGAGTAGAAAAAAAGGCTTCTCGGAACATCTCAGCAGTTCCTCTGGATATTTAGATGTCTGTGGGAAAACACAAGTTACATGTTAAGCATGATATACAACCTCCTAGCTCTGCTGGGAAGACACAAAGCCAGCCAATGCTCCTTGTGAACCCTGCGTGTGAAAAGCACGACCTCTCCATCACCGTCATATGTGCCACTAATGTAGACTTTTATATTGACTTGAAAGCTAAGCAATTAAAATATTTCCTTTGCTGGAGTGTGGGCAAATGATTTAAAACTGCTTTAGCTTCTCTGTCAGTCTGAAGGGAGGGATCAGGTGGTGGAGCTATTGAGAGTGCGTCAGGATCTTCTGATTTCATGTCTTCTCTCCAAGCGTGTGTCTGGCTGCCCCCTGCCCACCTTAACTCCACCCCCTTGATGCATGCAGACATAAGCATCCATGCTCCTCTCTCCGCCTGCTTGGCCAGACCACCAGTGAAGGTGTGCAGCAGGTCCTCTCTACCTCCGTCTCGCCATGTGGGTGTGGTGATGCCTGTGTATACCGAGAGGGTACAAAATCCCTTGTTAACAGCAATCCTTTGTAGGCTGCACAACTTGTGGAGCGAAGGGACGAATAAACAGGCACTAAAAGAAATTCATGTCTTTAGCATTCAACCCATCAGTAGGCTTCCAAGGCCCAACTGCACATTGGAGTATATTTTGTGTAGAGTTACGGTAACTTTAGCAGCAGAGGAGTCAGAGATCTAGTCTGAAAAGTTCTTTGGAATGTATATGTTTTCAGAGGAACCCAGGATTTGATAGAATTCACAGACAAAACCCAAGCGACACTTCTCAACAGCAAAGAATACAGAGGAAGAGGTGACGCTCGCCTGGAAGTCTAGAGGACAGTCACACTAACCAGCATGGCCCTTGATGGCACACAGACCAAGTGGTAGCATAGACATTTTTCTGCTTGGTGGTCAACTCAACACAAACCCAAAAGGGGCACGTGTGACCTCCATTACGAAAAAAAGGCCAGAAAGAGAGATTATTCCTTGAATGGATTTTTTGGGTAGCTCTTGGAAGATCTAAGGCTTGAACGGACACTGAGAATGCATTCGGTTGCATTGGCAGTGCAGGGGAGTGCAAGTTAGTAATGCAGCTGAGAAACGGCGTTACCTGAAGAATACAGGCAGTTCAGCTCCCCCCACAGCTCTCCAGAGACTTGTCTCCACCTGGTGACCAACTGCTCCCCAGTAGGACACGTCCCATTCCAGTTTATACTGCAAGCTGCTGTGTATCACCGGGTTCTGCAAACTGGTTTATGCTGGAAAGGTTGGTTCCTACCAGTGCTGCAAATATCCTTATAACAGTGACTGCCTTCCTCCTTACTAAGGCTTGTGCACATGCTAACAAGCATGTGAGAGCCAGTCCTCAGGCTGGATTTTAGACAGGGAAAGGAGAAACCCTCACGCTCTTTGGAGATCTCCTGGGTGGATGGGACAAGAGATCCAAAAGCTTCAGGAACACCAACTAGAGGTGCTTCATAGACATGGCTCAGCAAAGCCCTCTGACATCGAGGGCCTCTCGAGTCTTCAGCCCAGCACCCAAATATCCCTGCCAAGCAGGTCATGGGTGCTTTTCCTCCCCCTCCAGCTCATAGATGCTGCACAGCTGTTTGCAAAGAGACCTGACCGTGGCCTCTTGAAGTCGCTGCATAGGTACGTGCAGCTCAATGTTCATCACACTGCAGAGAACAGAAGAGGTATTGAAAGGATAAAATACTTGTTTTTAGTGCTAAAGGGGTATTTTAGTTAAGCTCAAGACTTCCTCCCTCTGGCCTTATCACAGGCTTCCCTCATCCTGTTGCCTCTCCACAAAGCAGAGCTGCAGAGATCCTGATCTCTTGTAGGACACAACAGCTTTGTGCCTTCAGACAGCACCATTTTAGAGCCAGTCTTTAGTGACGGCGAAGGAAGCTGGAGACATCAGCTGTTGGAGAGGCTGGGAGCACTGGAGCCTTTGGCCAAGTGTCTGACTCATATCATTGCGTCCTGAGTTTAACCACCTCCCTCCCTCCCTCCGGCCGTATGTGTGTGGGTGGGAAAGGCGCCGTGCAGAAGGGCTGCTCTCCAGGCAGAGCTGCGAGGAGCAGTTAAACTGCAGGGGCAATCAGGGCCAGCTCTGGCAAGGGACTGCCCCTGCCTGCAGCCCTCGGGGCTTTGGACTGGGTCAGTGAGGCACTACAGCCTCTACACGGGCAGAAAGGTGAGGCAGAAAAGTGACAGGTGGAGACGCTAGACTTCACAGAAGCACACAATCACAGAATGGTAGGGGTTGGAAGGGACCTCTGTGGGTCATCTAGTCCAACCCCCCTCCGGAAGTAGGTCATGCCACTGTCACGGGCACTCTGTTCCCTTGGGGGATCTCTATGCCTCGAGCCACATTAGCCTTTTGCTATGCCAGCATCCCACCTGGTTATTAACAGTGAATGGACAAATAGTGGGGAGGCCCCTCTCCCCATCGAAGGGGTCTCCAAGGCTGGGGTGGGCAATGGTGTCCATTTCCTCATCCTCAGAGCACTATCAGCTGTTGAGATTCTCTCACAAACTCCCTGCTGAGAAACGCTCAAATGGAAGTCTCAGATTTCACCAGCCGAAGGGTATGATTCAGACTAACGCATTTTCTGGATGTTGAAGACAATTTTTGAACATGGACAGTCCATAAAACTAATGGAAAGAGCAAACTGGGAGCTGACTCATTACGTTTGAATGCTTGGGTCTACCCATTTTTTTCTTCCTTGGCATTTCTCTCTCTGCAAGAGCAGGACCAAGACATTGTAGGAGCAAGGCCTTACAAGGATTTCTCTCCTTCTCTCAATATTTGCATTGCTGAGTGATGCATCTCTTTCCCCGTCAGGTGCACACAAAGAAAAAACAACAGGAAACCTCGAGCAGTGGTTTCGGGTCCTCTGAACAGATTTTGAGGGCACTGCTTTGTGCCATCCTCCCTGCATTAGGGTCTATGCTCCTACCTTATGCCTCAGGTGCTCAGCAAAAAAAAAAATGCATGGTCTCTGCTGCTCCCACACTCAGATCGCAGATGACCTGGCTGTTACCCACATAACTGCAAAAATATATGGAGCTATCTACACAGAGCCCTGTGAAAATGGTGGTTTTGCAGGAGGACCTGAGTTCTCCACTTGTGGGTACCTCTTCCCACCCTGAGCAACTGAACCAAATGTAATACTACGGCAAACAAATAATTTGCAATGACTCTTGCAAACGTGCCAATTACAGTTGGCTTATTTGGGCGCTCACATCTGATTGTCAGATAGATCAGATATTAATACACCAGAAAAGTCATCTCACGTGCCTGCCCAGGCAGGGCCATGGTCTGTCTTACCCCACACATTGATATTTCCGAAGTTCTTCCTGGTGCACCGTGTATTCCTCCTTCGATACGACAACACCTATTACAGCTGAGCAAGTTGTTCCCAAATTCACAAAAATTCAGGTGCTCTGTAAGCTAACTCTGCCCGCAAGGAGCTTATTTAAGGCCACAGAACCTGCATTACTCTCAAGAAAGGAGAATTACGCTAGCTATGTCATACGTAGAATGAAGTTTGAAACTGCGCTGCTGCTCTGACATCGACCTAGTCCCAACTCTTTTCAAGGCCGTGCCCAGCGGGCAGTGCCTGTGGTGCCACTCACTGGAGCAGGCAGCATTTTACTCCACTCAAATATTTGCCGTATAAAATAAAACCAGGGGGAAAAAAAAACCAAACCAAAGCGTGTCCCATTTGGAACTAAAGCTCTTACAAATGCACCTCCTCTTCCTCGTCTGCATGCCCGCGGTTCGCACCTTGCATGCGGAGGGTATTTCTGTGCTTGCTGCAGTCGCTACCCAAACGTTCCCTGTAGCTTGAGGACCCGGGGGGTGGTTGCCCACCAGCTGCAGGGAGCCCAGCCCTTCTCCAGCCATCCCAGGACTCCAGCCAGGGGAAGCCCAGGCCGTGGGAAGGCTGGGGAAAGCAGCCCTTGGGTGCTCCGGCTGCAGGACCGCACCTGACCCCCCTGGGGGGGATGCTGCAGCCCCCTGGAACTTTGGCAACCAGAAACCTCCATTGACAGCGCTGGTGCAGACCCCTGCCACCAAAAAATTAACTGACCTGAGGAGGCAAGCGCAACTGGCTCGCGGGCATTTCCTAATGTGCTCCTAACCCCCCAAAAAACCAGAGGATCGCGTGCTGATGAAACTCAGCACAACTAGGAGACACGAGTCGCAGGTTACTCTAATCCACCTCTCCTGAAATTCCGAAAATCAAAGAGATGATCATTCGCTCTGCTGCACAGCGGTGGCGAACCGTGCCGCTACCACAGCCATCCCTTCTCTCAGCTGTAGCTGGGGAGTTCAGCTCAGTAGACCGGGGGAATAATTTGGTTCAACAAGTCCCTCCCGAGGGATTCTCCAGACCTCCAGATAAGAGCCCATGGCTCACACTGCCTGCACCTGGAATAAACCCTTGGGAAAACGCCCGAACTAGCCAAACGCCAAAAGTAATGGAAAACATACATATTCCCTTCTGGCAGGTACTGTCTAAACACGGCGTGCCTGAGAGGAGCGGGCTGCCGGAGAGCCCGCGGGCAGCGGCCATGCAGCCCACAGGGGCACAGGCTGGGGTGTCACAGCCTGGCTCGCTCATTCCTCGCCGGAGAACTGTCAGCAAATATCCCGCGCAAGAGGAGGAAAAAACTCTTGCCTACCTGGACAAAAGAGGTCATTCAAAATTTTCCTCCCGAAAACGTCAGGAATCAGCAGGCTTGGCGGAGGCGCTGGTGTCAGGCGGGGTGCTGCATCCGGAGGGAGAGCTCCAGGCTGCGGGTGGCCGGGCTGCGCGGGGAGCAGCGGCCGGAGCAGCAGAGCCTTCTCCTGCCCAGTCCCTCTATTCCCTCGCAGGCTGGAACTGCCTTCTGCGTTCCTCCTCCTTCAAAACCGGGCAAAACCCCGTTTGCAGTAGCTCCAGACGTCCACGGAGAGTCACTGTGGGTCTACCGACACCTCGGGACGGGCTCCTC